TGCCCTCTGGCAGTGGCAGCCATTCCCTGTCCCTCCATCCCTCATCCCAAATCCCTCTCCAGCTCTCCTGGAGCCCCCTTAGGTTCTGGAAGGTTCTTGTTGACCCTCATGACTTTCCCACGGGCTCCCTCCTCCAGGTCAGGAGTTGATTCTCTCCAAGGATGGAGACTCCACAACTGCCCTGCCCAATCTGCTCCAGCATTTGGCCACCCTGAAGGAAAGAAAAACCAAAAAACCCCCCAAAAACCCCACCAAATCCTAAAATATAAAATTTCCCTGTTGAAAGGGAATTTCTGGGTCTCCACTCATGCCCTGGCCTCTTGTCCACTCACTGGGCACCTCTGGGAAGAGTCTGGCTCCAATCACTGGAAGCTTGGCACGCTGAAATTAAGATGAAACGTTTGTTGCGAGGAAAAATAAAAGCTATTTTGGGTCCTTTGAAATTATTTACAACTTTGAAGCAAACCCAAAAGGAGTATTTTGGGGATGAAAAGCTGCAGCTTTGTTCGAGATATGCTTGAAATTAAACGCTTTGCCTTTTATTGAGCTGTGGCATTTCCCAGTTGAAATCTGCCTGCCTTTAATTAAAAAAAGCAGGGGACCACAAGAGCCTTCAAAGATGCCTTTGCAAACCCAGAGATGTTTTATTTTGGGGAGAACAAGATGTTTTCATTGACACAATTAAAAAAAAAAAATTAAAACAATTTTGCTGGGACAAATGGGAAGGTTTCATTCTGGGTTGGCCTAAAGAGGAAAAATCTTGCATTTCCTCATTTTTTAATTGAATCCCTAAAGGCCAGAGGAGCTGTTTGCACAGTCCAGGCTTTGAGACATCCCTGGGGGTGCCCAAGGCCGGGCTGGATGGGTGTTTTTGGTTTGTTTTTTTTTTTTTTTTCCCACATTTTTCCAGCTCCTGGAGTTGTGGAGGGAGGGAAATTGAAGCAAATGGGCCGTGAAAATCGACATGGGGCAGGAATGCAGCTTTGCCAGGTTGGAACGGGCTAATTCCTGCAGAACAGAGCCAGGAAGGGCTTCCCCCTGTGCTTTAGGATATAAACTTGGGGTTTTTTATAAAGTTGGGTTTTTTTCTGCTGCATTAAGTTTGACAGCCGGGATTGCTCTGCAGCACGGGGAGGTGATGGGTGAGTGGCAGAGAAAACAAAGCTTCCCTCCTGATTTGGGGAGCATTCCCACGGATTCCTGGCATTGCTGCTGCCCCTCAGCTGCAGTTTTGGGGTCCCCGCTCTGTCCTGGCTCTGTTTTAAGCCAGGTTTAGCTGGGCTCATCCTGGTTCCCATCGAGGAGAGCCAACTCCAGGCTGGGTTTTACCCATGGGATGGGCTGAGCTGGAGGAGACCCACAAAGATCAGCAGCTCCGACCCCTGGCCCTGCACAGAACCAAATTTTGGGTCAATTCCGTCCCCGGTGGAGGGGGAAAGGAACCTTGTGCCAGTGTCTGTCCCTGTTCCCTGATTTGTGTCCCCTCCTGGGGTCAGCCAGCGGGGCTGGAGAGGAGCTGGAATGGGAGAGGCTGTGGGCTTGATGCCCTTGCCAGGGTTTGCTGGGGTTTTTGGTCTCTGTGGGGAGCTGTGGGCGATGTGAAATCCTCAGAGCCATGGAATCATGGCATTGTTAAACCTGGAAAAGCCCCCTGAGATCCTGGAGCCCAACCATCAACCCAGCACTGCCAAGGCCACCACTAAACCGTGTCCCCAAGTGCCACATCCACATTTATTGAACGCTTCCAGGGATGGACACTCCACCACCAGCCTGTTGGTGAAGATCTTTTCCCCAATATCCAATCTAAGGAAGGAATGTTTCCTCCTTGAATGATCCAGTCTTCCCACTCAAAACCACACCGTGCAAAGTGGATCCTGTCCCTCGAGGAGATGCTCCAGCTGCTCCTGGATGCTGACACGAGCTGCTCTTGTGTTTTATTATCTGCTCCTAAACGTTTATTCCTGCTGCTCATGGGGATAAATCCTGTGCCCAGCCCCTGCCCCGAGCAGGGAAGGACATTCCTGGCTTTGGGATTCCCAGGCTGCTGGCAGGTGACACCGGCTGCCCCACGGCATGGATGTGGGAAGGGTTAATTAGGGCTCTCTCCCTGCTCCCTGATTAATTCCAGCCAGGTGTCCACGGTTCAGGTCTTAAAACAACAACTGCTCAAGAGTCTGGGAACACTTAGCCAGGCCTCGGGCTGCAATTCCAAGTATGGATAAATATTTGCACCTCCGTGGCTGGGAGACACCTTGGAGGCATGAAGGTGATTACTGGGGGAGTCCTTTCCAGGGAAAAAGATGGATTTCCTGGGGAGCAGTGGTGCTCCAGCAGCAGCTGCTGGGCTCCTTGTGCAGCCCAGCCTGGGTGGTCCTGGGGA